TCTACTGAACTATCACCCTGGCCCCTTAAAACTGCCTTTGCTGTGTCCCACAGGTTTGGGTATATTCTACTGGTGTTGTTGAATTCTAGGAACTTTTTGATTTCTTCTCTGATTTCTTTTGTGACCCACTGATTACTCTAGAGTGTGTTATTTAATCTCCATTTGTCTAGTTTCTATGGTTTCTTTTCCTGCTATTTTTTTCATTTCATTTCATTATGATTCAGTAGGATACAAAAGACTGTTTCGATTATTCTGCATGCATTTAAACATGCTTCATATCCTAAAATATGGTCTATTTTGAAGAAAGTTCTGTGTGCAGCTGAGAGAAATGTGTATACTGTTGTTGTTGGGGCAGATACTCTATAGATATTTCCTAAATGCATTTGCTTGATGGTGTGGTTCAACTCTGAGACAGTAAGCCTTTGCCTTACAAACATTCAAGTGGCAAACTTTCACCAGTGTACTGTATAAGACTCACTTTATTGGCTTAGGAACAAACCCAACCTATGTATGAACAAATCTCAGGAATGGAACTCATTTGTAAGTTGGATGTATACTATATTTCTTTGGAGATTTTTTTTGGGGGGTGCAGGTCTGGTTGACCCGTTTGTTAGAGTGAGGTATTAAAGTTCCTAACTATGGTTGTACTGATGATGACCTGTTCTTTCATCTCCAATAATTTTGTTTAATAAAATCGGATGATCTTACATTCAATGCATAATACACTTACAATTGTTATCTCTTCTCATTACCCTTTTCTCTTTAGCATTATGTAGTGACTTTCCTTGTCTCTTCTGATTAAGTTTGAAGTCCACTTTCTATGAAATTAGGACAACTATTCCTGCTTGCTTTTCACTCTGGTTGCATCATTTGCAATCCTTTCGTTTTCGGTCTGTTTCTTTGTCACTGAGGTGTGTTTCTTGCAGGAAACACATCATTGGTCCTAACTTGCTGCAATATGGCAGTCCATGTCTACTGATTGGGGAGTTAAGTTGATTTACATTGAGCATTATTATTGAAAGCTAATTACTGATTCATGTCATTGTGTTTTCCTCAGTGCTGATTTTTTTCCTATATTTCTTGTGTTTAACTACTGTCTCAATTATATGTGTTCATTCCTTTCGGCTGATGTCTACATTGCTGAATCACTTTAGAATTCCCTTGAATATGTTCTGCAGTGCTAATTTGATATTCATGAATTTTGTCACCTTCTTTTTGTTATGGAAGAAAACTGTCAATTTTTAAAACTGTCAATTTTGATGGATTGGGGGCCTGCCCCTTAGCCCAGTTCTTTAAGTGGCTGCTTCAGCAAAGCAGTCAGGCTCAGGTTGCTGTGGTTCGATCCCCACAACTCAAGCCTGCCAAACCTGCCCTGAAGGCATTCGGAGCAAAAAAAAAAAATTGATGGGTAATTTTGTAGGAGATAGTAATATGGATTAGAATTGTTTTTCTTTATAGCTTGATTTTTTTAATTTTTTAAAAATAATACAAGGGCTGGCCAGAAAGCTCAGCAGACTAAAGCACCTGCTTAGGCAGAGTGCAGGAGCCAGGGTTCAATCTCTGGTATGCCTTGCCAGCCCCACCCCCAGGGCACGCTGAGATGGCGATTGAGACTGGGTGTGGTGGCGTGCACCTGTAATCACAGTGCTTAGGAGGCTGAAAGCAGGAGAATCATTACGAGTCTGATCCACATAGTGAGACCCTGGAGACCCTGTACTAAACATATAAAAAAATAAAATAATAAAATAATACAAAATGGTAATAAAATAAAACAGCATCAGAAACAATACAAACTTTCGCTAAACAAAGCAATAGGAATTCGCCAGTGGTACATTGCACAATGTTATCATCAAATTAGTTGTTTAGGTTACCAGATATAAATGTGAAAGACTGCTTTAAAGAAAAAGCAAAACAAAAGAATGACAAAAGAGTTATAAGAAATTCAAAAGAAAAAAATAAGATTTAAAAAATTAAGCATTAACTGTTCCTTTCAAAACACCAGCAGAAATCAGTAGTACGATTTTCCAAACTATCCTGCATATATGCATAAATATATCTTTTCCCCTTCTTTCTTTTGTTCTTTTCCTCATCCCAGTTTTTGTTTCCATTGAATAAATTATTTCCCTTTCAATATATATATATAAAGGTATATATATATATTGTACCT